CGAGGTTTTGGGGTCTAGGATTTAGGATTTGGGGTTCAAGGTTTAGGGTTTAGGATTTAGGGTTTAGGGTTTAGGGTTTAGGGTTTGGGGTTTAGGGTTTAGGGCTTAGGATTCAGGGTTTGGGGTTTAGGATTTAGGGTTTGGGGTTTAGAGTTTAGGGCTTAGGATTCAGGGTTTGGGGTTTAGGATTAAGGGGGTTTAGGGTTTATTTAGGGGTTTGGGGTTTCAGGGTTTAGGGCTTAGGATTTAGCGTTTGGGGTTTAGGATTAAGGGGGTTTGGGGTTTAGGCTTTAGGGTTTGGGGTTTCAGGGTTTAGGGCTTAGGATTTAGGGTTTGGGGTTTAGGATTAAGGGGATTTGGGGTTTAGGGTTTAGGAAATAAGGGGGTTTGGGTTAGGGTTTAGGCTTAAACCGTGGTCTCTCCTTCCTACAGTGGTACTCGCCCTATAGAGTTCCTAAAGAGACGTGCTAGGCCACTTCATGATCGTAAGAGACGATGACAATCCCTAAACCCTAAACCCTAAACCCTAGAACGGGCTTTCATGATATATCAACTGCCGCAGCCGTACTTCGATTGTTGCTTCCTGGATGGAACCGAACAACAGAAAGCTCGCGCTGAACACGATCTGAAGAACAATAACAGAATTCGCAGACCCGATCGCCGAACACTGAAAGCCACCAACCATAAGAAAAGACATGCATCTTTCAGGTACCTGGGCCGTGAAACAGGGTATAGGCAGGAATTAAGAAGCGGGTTCTTTCTTCTTGCCTTTCAAATATTTGATTCCTTGTCGCAACATGCAAATCATGATCCAGCTCCGCGGAAGACGCCATTGGTGTTCCAACGCTTCAGTCGGAAAAAAAGCGGCATGGCCACCATTTCTTTCTGGGTTCTCCATTCCTACCCTAAACCCTAAACCGGAAACCCTAGACCCTAAACTTCAAACCCTAAACCCTAAACCCTAGGTTCTGGGGATGAGTCTTAGCGGCTTGCGATGGTTTGGGGTTTTGGGTTTTAGGATGGCTTAGGGTTCTTACTAAGCTGCAAAGGCAAGAGCAAACAAAAGGGCTCCAGCCCGGAAATTTAGGTTAAGGGGTTTAGGGTTTCGGGGTTTAACAACGAACATGGTACATCATTAGTACATCATGATAGATCCAAACCCACTTGCAACCCTATAATCTGCAATCCGAAGCATCCATCAGGTTTGGAACTTAAGGGCTTGAAGGGTTTAGTGGTCACGAGGTTAAGCTAAGAGTAACGGACGTTAAGGAAGGGTTGTGTTTGGGTGAAAGGGGGGGTTGCCGGGTGCTGTGTATTGGTTGTATAAGTATACGAGTTGTGTAGGCGGCACATAGGGGATGTGTAGGTATCCACAAACCCTCAACCCTGAAACCTTGCCCACAACAAACCCCAAGCCCTAGTCTAGGGTTTAGGGTTTGCGGCTTTTGGGGCTTAACCCTAGACTTTAAACCCTAGAGGGTGTACAGGGAAGGGTACGAGGGCCCCTGACCCCAAGCATCCCCGCAGCCCAAACCTTGAAACCCCCAGCGCCCTAGTTCGGGCTTAGGGTTTAGGATCTTTTAGGGTCTAGGATCCTTTAGGGTTTAGGATCTTTTCGGGTTTAGGACCTTTTTGGGTTCAGATGTTTTTAGGTTTGGGGTCTTTGTAGAGTTTAGGATCGGGTTTAGAGCCTGCGCCTTCACCTCAGAGCGTCACCGCAGGAGACTCAACCTGCCGCTGCCGGCGCAGAAACACGGCGAGCCAGCAGCTGTAGCCCAGTCCTGATTGGGACAATATGGGGGTTTCCGAAAATAGGGGACCCTAATTTTGTACCCTAAATAGTAGGAGCCTTATTAGAAGGACCCCAAAATAAGGGACTCCCCTATTTTCGGAAACTCCCATATTGGGGCTTGGAGAGTAGGGCTCAGGGTTTAGAGGCTTGTTTCTTTTAGAGCTCTGTGGTGAAGAAAGGGTTTAGGGTTTAGGGTGACATATATATATATATATACACATGTGTATATATGTATATACATACATATAGACACATCTGTGCAAGCGGAGGACATGGCTAACGTCAGTTAGGGCACTAGGCCTCCAGGGCTTAAAGGAGCCGAGGGCCATGCTTTTGAGGGTTCAGGGTTTAGAGTTTAGGGTTAGGGTTTAGGGGAGGGTGTTCTGGATCCCTAGGCGTCGATCATAATTCGGACACTGCGAAGAATCCAGCCCCGACATGTTCACCGAAACCTTCTGAGGTTTAGGAGTTAAGGTTGGCGTTTCCCCATCGTTTCCAAGATTCCCAGGCAAAGATGGAAGAGCATGAAGCCCGCCATCATCCTCAGCTTTTTACGTTTTTCGGGGTCTCAGGTCGCAGCATTCATACAGTCGGGCGGTTTAGGGCTTAGGGTTTAGGGTTTAGGGTTAGGTGTAGGTCTACACCCGGCCCTAAACTCACCCTAAACCCAACCATAGACCCGAGGGGATTGGGGCTCAGGGCTTGACCTAAACCTCCGGTTTTGCTGGCTCTCTAGCAAGATTCTCCAGGGCCTCTACGATTCTGTATCCCTGAGGGTCCATGTGCCCAAATAGTATATACATTGGCCCCAAAGCCCAAAGCACTTCTATAGGGACTACTTTAAGGCCAAAGTATATCTATTTGGGTACATGGACCCTTAGGGTATGACAAGAACTGTAGAGTATAGCATGCTTCGTATATTCCATTATGAGCCAAAAGCAGCGGAGGGATTCGTATGAGCTGTCATATTGATGATCAATCCAATGCCCATTTAGGGTTTCGGGTTTAAGGGTGCTGCAGCTAGGGGCTCGGACAGGTCTAGTAGGAAGATTGTTTAGTTAGAGTTTAGAGTTTATGCTTCAGAGTTCATAGGCCCAAAAAGTCAGGGCATGCGCTGACTTAAAGGCAGCAGCTAAGTCGGAGAACCCTAAACTCCTAAAAATGTGCCCGCACAGGCAGCAGCCTGCTTGTAGAATTGTCGGCATTCAATTTTGGCTACGGCCGATGGGCCAATCCTGCCGTGCTCCAAGCAAGGAAGGTTCCTGATATGCCGTAGTTTAGGCTCATATGGGTGCCTTGACATGTCGAACAGGGTTCATGAGACCAGGCAGCTATGCAGTTTACTGGGAGACTTGGCAGATCGGCTTTCTGAAGCGAGTACCAGCTTGTCCTGCGCAGCTAGACCCCGAAACTCGGGCTTGCAAAGCCTACTTGGAGGATCATGGGACTTAGTAAGCAGAGTTATAAGTACCTAATTGGGGTTATGAGTATTTATAAGTATAGTTACCTTATGTATAACCGTAGTTACTAAGTCCCATGATCCTTTAAGTAAACCCAAGTCCGAACCAAGCCGGCCCGCAGGGACAAGGTGATGGCAACGGCATCCACGAAGTCCATCTGGAAAACCCACTCGCCGAGCCCATAGTTAGCCTGCAGGCAAACGACCAATAGGGTCATACCCTACCCCCTTTTGTAGGGTACCTACTTGTTTATATAGCAGATCCTAACCATAAAACTACGTACCTTAAAAAAGGTAGGGTAGGACCCTATAGATACATCCTAAACCAAAGGGAACGAGTGAAGAGGATCTCCCAGTCCGATTGCAGTATGCCACGGTTGATGATGTAAATCCTCGCACTACCTTAAGGACCCTAGACTATGGGAATTATGGTATAGTCCTTATTGACGGTAATGCCGGGTTTATATCATCAACCGTCTTGAAGGTTGGCTTTTGTATAGACGCATCAACTCTTGCACCGTGAACACCACGCCAGTAGCCTGCTGGTATGTCCAGGTACCTAGATCGCACAGAACTTGATCCCTCCAAGCTACTCTGGAACAATCCTGCCATATCGGACTGTGTAGGTAACTCGGCTTTTTCAGGAGTCGTGCTGCTCGTATAGTTCATCACGTTTGATGCGATCAAATTGGGAATAAAGTGATGCTTAGTGTGCTCGGTGGTACTACCGTTTTGGCTCTGAGCGAAGCTTGCCACATCTGACTGCAGTCTTGACATTGAGTTCAGTTTTCGCTCTGCACTGGTCTTAGAAGCACTATTTCCAAGATAACCCCTCAGTAAAACTCACTCATAAATAGTGTTCGAAAGCAGGCCTATATAAAACCTATCCGAAACACGATCCTAAATCTTGGGCCCTACTTCATGTGAGCAACTGCGCTTGGAGAACTGAGAAATCGGGAGAAGGGCCCTAAGGCTCTTTGTATAATATGCGGTATATACTCGTGCCTTGAAGGGTTTCCTACACGCATACATATATATATATATATAGCATATATATATATATATATAGGTACTTTAAGGGGCCTAAGTATATACTATATAGGTACATGGAGCCTCCTACTAGTTTCCTGTTGCGCCTGGCCTGGGTGAAGGGTCCGGACGGTCTGGGTGCGTAGGGCAAGTGGCGAGCTCGTGTGTATATAGAAGGACTTGGTCTAAGTATCCATTTACATACAGCACACCCATTCAGGCATGAGGCTTAAGGGTCTTCTTGCCGCGCCGTTGCTATTGCCAGTTTGGTTTTCAAAGTAAAGTGCCAGAATAAAAACCCTCGACAGGACTGCATATACAGAAGAGCAGAACTGGTCCAGATTCGGCCTGTGTTGCGGGAAACCTCAACCCCGCTAAGCCCTAAACCCTGAAGCCCTAAAGCCCAAAACCCTAAAGCCTACAAGGCCCCCTCTAAGCCTTAAAGCCGTAAACCCTAAACCCTGGAGCCCTGCACCCTTACCAGAACACTTGGAAGCCAAAAAGCCGCCAGCCAGAGTGGCAGCAAAATCCGTCGGCTCCACAAGCGAATCTCTCTGGCATACTGCTTTTGGCACTCCTCACCTTGCAGGTTCAGTGTTTAGGGGCTTGGGGTTTAGGGTTTAGGGGCTTTGGGTTTAGGGGTTTGGGGCTTAGGGGTTTGGGGCTTAGGTTAGGGGCTTAGGGCTTAGGTTTCAGGGTTGATCTTTGAGGGCCCCAGTAATATGGAAGAGCTGTCTTGAGGGCTTAGGGTGTAGGGCCCGGAGAAGTATGAAGATTATTTTTTTGTAATTCTCTGTTTTAGTTTGCAAAAAGAATGAAAACCAGAACCTCATTCTAAGGCTCTGGGGTGTAGGCAGGCTGTCGCGTGGTCGTGGCGTATAACAACAGGTACAGTAGATGATATGAACAAACAAACGGTCAAACGATGGGTTTCATTGATTATAGCCATCAAAAAACCAAATAAACAACCATGTATTCATGTTGCTATCCCTAAACCCTAAACCCTAAACCCTAAACCCTAACCCCCAAACCCTATGTGCGGTACGAACTAAGGCCGCGCATGTGTTCTTCTGACATCCAGAATGCGGCAAGGCAAATTTCTGCTGGAAGAAGAGCTAGTCTGCCGTCCCTGTTGAAGAAGGGTTTAGGGTTTAGGGT